TTCTTTCCTTTATAAATTACCCCATTTTGGACAGTTCTTTATAGCAGTGTGAGAATGGACTAGTACTGTAAATTGGTACTGAGTAGTGGGGTGCTGCTATAAAGATACCCCAAAATGTGGAAGCAACTTTAAAACTTGGTAACAGGTAAAAGTTGGAACAGTTTGAAGGGCTCAGAAGAGAGGAAAATGTGGGAAACTTTGGAACTTCCTAGAGACTTCTTTAACCAAATGCTAATAGTGATATGGACAATGAAGTCCAGGCTGAAGTGGTCTCACATGGAGATGAGGAACTTCTTGGTAACTGGAGTGTATTATTCCCTTTTCATGCTGCTGATAAAGACATGCCAGTACTGGGAAGAAAAAGAGGTTTAATTGGACTTACAGTTCCACATGGCTGGGGAGGCCTCAGAATCATGGTAGGAGGCAAAAGGCACTCCTTACATGGTGGAGGCAAGAGAAAATGAGAGAGATGCAAAAGTAGAAACCCCTGATAAAACCATCAGATCTCATGAGACTTATTCACTACCATAACATTATGGGAGAAACTGCCCCCATGATTCAAATTATGTCCCACCGGGTCCCTCCCACAATACATGGGAATTATTGGAGTACAGTTCAAGTTGAGATTTGGGTGGGGACACAGAGCCAAACCATATCATGGAGTAAATGTGACTCTTGCTATGCTTTAGAAAAGAGACTAGTGGCATTTTGCCCCTGCCCTAGATATCTGAAGAACTTTGAACTTGAGAGAGGCAATTTAGGGTATCTGGTGAAAGAAATTTTTAAGTGGCAAAGCCTTCAAGAGAAAGCAGAGCATAAAAGTTTGAAAAATTTGCAGCCTGATGATGCACTAGAAAAGAAAACCTCATTTTCTGGGGAGAAATTCAAGCCAGCTGCAGAAATTTGTATAAGTAATGAGGAGCTGAATGGTAATCACCAAGACAATGGGAAAAATGTCTCCAGGGCATATCAGAAACCTTCACAGCAGCCCCTCCCATCATAGGCCCAGAGGCCTCGGAAGGAAAAATGGTTCTGTGGACCAGGACCAGGGCCCCCCCGCTCTGTGCAGCCTTAGGACGTGATGCCCTGTATCCCAGCTGCTTCAGTTCCAGTCATGGCTAAAAGTTGCCAACATACAGTTCAGGCCATTGCTTCAAAGGGTGCAAGTCCTAAGCCTTGGCAGTTTTCACTTGGTGTTGGGCATGTGGGTGCACAGAAGTTCAAGAATTGAAGTTTGGGAACCTCTGCCTAGATTTCAGAGGATATATGGAAATGCCTGGATGTCTAGGCAGAAGTTTGTTGCAGGACCGGAACTCTCATGGAGAGCCTCTGTTAGGGTGGTGCAGAAGGGAAATGTGGGGTCGGGAGCCACCCTACAGAGTCTCTACTGGGGCACTGCCTTGTGGAGCTATGAGAAGAGGCCACCATCCTGCAGACTCCAGAATGGTAGATCCATTGACAGCTTGCATCGTGTGCCTGGAAAAGCCACAGACATTCAATGCCAGCCATGAAAGAAGCTGAGAGGAGGCTGTATCCTGCCAAGTCACAGGGGTAGAGTTGCCCAAGGCCATGGGAGCCCTTCTCTCACATCAGTGTGACCTAGATATGAGACATGGAGTCAGAGGAAATCATTTTGAAACTTTAAGGTTAATGACTGCCCTATTGGATTTGGAACTTGCATGAGGCCTGCAGCCCCGTTGTTCCGGAAAATTTCTCCCATTTGGAATGGGTGTATTTACCCAATGCCTGTACCCCCATTGTACCTAGGAAGTAACTAACTTGCTTTTCAATTTTACAGGCTCATAGGCAGAAGGGATTTGCCTTGTCTCAGATGAGACTTTGGACTTGGACTTCTGTATTAATGCTAGAATGAGTTAAGACTTTGGGGAACTGTTGGGAAGGTATAATTAGTTTTGAAATGTGAGAACATGAGAATTATATGGTTTGTCTGTGTCCTCACCCAAATCTCATCTTGAATTGTAATTCCCATCATCCCCACATGTCGTGGGAAGGACTCACTGGGAGGTTATTGAATCATGGGAGTGGTTATCCTCATGCTGTTCTTGTGACAGTGAGTGAGTTCTCACGAGATCTGATGGTTTTATAAGGGGCTTTTCCCCCTTTGCTCAGTACTTCTCCTCCCTGCCACCATGTGAAGAAGGACATGTTTGCTTCCCCTTCTGCCATAATTGTGTTTCCTGGAGCCTCCACAGCCCTGCAGAACTGTGAGTCAATAAACCTGTTTCCTTTATAAATTACTCAGTCTTGGGCAGTTCTTTATAGCAGCATGAGAACAGACTAATACAAAGGCAGAAGAAACTCACAAGTGCTTTGTCAAGCCCTTGCTTACTGTCTGTTGGCCAAAGGAAGTCACATGACTGAGTTCAAAGTTGGAGTGTGAGACACTGGATGCATAGAGGTCACTACCGGGGCCTTTATAAGCTAACATACAATACAATTATCAGGTTGTCTATTTTGTCATATTAAATTGATCAGTAGATTCAAGTGTTGCCTTCTCAATATGCCTATCTTTCAGGTAATGATGATACACCAATTCTATCATTACTTCTGCATTTATTGGTCTACACTTAAATTCTTCTGTAAAGGAGCACTTACCTCCTATAAATTATTTGCTTATGCTAAAATACACGATGAACATGTATTTCCATGTATTTGTTATTTTCATAGTAGTGAATTGGTACCATAGCATTCCAAGGGAGCTAATGAGTTTTTTTTTTAAAAATTATCGTTTTCGACTTATGGATTTTTAACCTACTTGAGGTATTTTGGTCCATTATAGTCATTATTCCTTTTCATACTTGATATTGGTTTGGCTCTGTGTCCTCACCCATATCTCATCTTGAATCGTACTCCCATAATTCCCATGTGTTGTGGGAGGGACCCAGTGGGAGATAACTGAATCATGGGGGTGGTTTCTCCCATACTGTTCTCATGGTAGTAAATAAGTCTCACAAGATCTGATGATTTGATAAGGGAAACATGTTTAGCTAGGTTCTTATTCTCTCTCTTGCCTGCTGCGATGTAAGATGTGCTTTTTGCCTTATGCCATGATTCTGAGGCCTCTTCAGCCACGTGGCACTGTAAGTCCAATGAAATTTCTTTCTTTCGTAAATTGCCCAATCTTGGGTATGTCGTTATCAGTAATGCGAAAACAAACTAATACAATACTCAAGCTGCCCCATCTTGTCCTAGTGGCAGTACCTTCAACTGGGCTCCTGTGTCTTTTTGATGTGATCCCAGATAGCTTTCTTGCTTCCTTATATGGCTAGATCTTCCAAGCTCATCCTGCTGCAGAGGTGGATTCAGCTGTTTCTCCAGAGAGTCCTGGTTCCTTTTACTGGGGAATATTTAAAGACCACACAATATGGGTTCTAGGAGATAGGAGGGTTAAACAACAGATTCTGTGTGAACAACATTACAGTCTTCCAAATGTGGTAGACATGTAGATGTAATTTGTTTGTTTTCTTTTGTAATATACTAACCTTCACTTCATTCTTCTGGGAACAGCATTTCATCTTTTGGGAAATTGGTTTTTTCTCACTTTAGTCATTTGTTTTTAGTCATCATACTCTTCCTCTCTAGGTCTAAGCACAGGCATGTCACCAAAGTCCTCTGCTAGAATCTTTTGAACTGGAATAGGAGAAAGAATTAAAGTTACTAACAAAATTTTGAGAGGTGCTGGAGCTGTCCGTTAGCCGTAATGTCTACTGTGTGTAGGAAGCTGGTTTCATATCCCATATGGTTTGGCTCTGTGTCCCCACACAAATCTCATGTTGAATTGTAATTCTCAATGTTGGAGGAGGGACCTGGTGGGAGGTGATTGGATCATAGGGGCAGATTTCCCCCATGCTGTTCTCCTGATAGTGAGTTCTCACAAGATCTGATGGTTTAAAAGTGTGTGGCACTTCTCCTCTTGTGCACTTTCTCTCTTCTGCTACCATGTGAAGAAGGTTCTTGTTTCCCCCTTCACCTTCTACCGTGATTGTAAGTTTCCTAAGGCCTTGCAATCATGCTTCCTATACAGCCTGTGGAACTGAGTCAATTAAACCTCTTTTCATAAATTACCCAGTCTCTGGTAGTTCTTTATAGCTGTGTGAGAACAGACTAATGTAACATCCTTGGTGAATTCAGTGTCTATGGGGATATTTCATCTATTGTCTCCACCTCAGATATCTCTTTGTCAAACGTATTGGCTTGGACTTGTTGCCACTTTAGCCTCTCACTCCCATTACCATTATCTTAGAATGTTTCATTAACTGGAACTGCTCTGCTTCTGAAATTGTAACATTTGCAGCCACCTCACTGATCACAATCATTTCTTTCACCAGTGCTCTCACTTTGGCATTTATGATTCACAAATTTTATACCCTACTGAGATTGCTGGTCCCCTAACTTCTCAGGGTTCCTCCTATCTTCCCTTTCCAGTCTACCCTACAAAATGCATATCTTTACTCATGCTCATTGCTCCTGGGTTATTTTTCCAGAGCCTGCCTGCAGAACTGTTATTATGAGACAGTCCAACTCTCCCTTCTAGTCTTGGGTCCTTTTGGAGAAAAGTACACAATAGTATGTGCCTATTAAAAAGCCACTAAAAATTCATGGTCTGAGGGTCTCAGCTGAGATCTACTGTGTTATCTGGCACTTTCCTCTCTGATATGGTTAGGTTTTGCGCTCCCATCCAAATCTCATCTTGAATCGTGAATCCCATAATCCCCAGTTGCAGAGGGATAGACCTGGTGGGAGGTGATTGGATCATGGGGGCGCTGTTCCCCATGCTGTTCTCTTGATAGTGAGTTTTCACGAGATCTGATGGTTTTATAACTGTGTGATAGTTCCTCCTTCTCATGCTTGCTCTCTCTGATCTGCCGCCATGTTAAGATGTGCCTCAAGAGCTGGCTGCGGGGCCGCTGCTCTGCCATTGGTTGAGGCGCAGAGCGAAGTGAAGGGCTGCCCAGGTGAGGCCAGGCTGACGGAAAAAGATGGATACTACTATACTGAATATGCAGAATCTGTTTGAGCAGCTTGTGCTCGGGGCGGAGATTCTCAGTGAAGGAAACGAACTGCAATTTATCCAGCTGGTGAAGGACTTTGAGGATTTCTTTAAAACGTGGGAGAGGACTGACTATGAGCTGGGGGAAATACAAGGATCTTTTGATAAAAGCAGAGACTGAGTGAAATGCTCTGGATGTTAAGCTGAAGCATGCATATAATCAGGTGGATGCAGACATCCAAACGGAGAGCTGAGGCTGCCTGCCAAAAGCTGGAATGACAGATTCAGCTGATTCGAGAGATGTTCATGTGTGACATATCTGGCCAACTAAGCAGGGAGCAAAAATCAGCTTTGGCTTTTCTCAACAGAGGCCAACCATCCAGCAGCAATGCTGGGAACAAAAGACTATCAATCATCGATGAATCTGGTTCCATTTTATCAGATATCAGCTTTGACAAGACTGATGAATTACTGGATTGGGACTCTTCTTTGGTGAAGACTTTCAAGCTGAAGAAGAGAGAAAAGAGGCGCTCTAGTAGCCGACAGTTTGTTGATGGTCCCTCTGGACCTGTAAAGAAAACCCGTTTCATTGGCTCCACAGTAGACCAGGGGGAATGAATCCATAGTTGCAAAAACTACTGTGACTGTTCCCAGAGATGGCGGGCCCATCAAAGCTGTGTCCACTATTGAGACTGTGCCATATTGGATCAGGAGCCAAAGGAAAACAGGTACTTTACAACCTTGGAACAGTGACCCCACCCTGAACAGCAGGCAGCTGGAGCCAAGAATTGAGACAATGTGGGCACGCCAGAGAGTAACAGAGGGATGTACCTGCATGACTTTGTCTCTAAGACGGTTATTAAACCTGAATTCTATGTTCCATGTGGAAAGCAGATAAAATTTGGGAAACTATCTCTGAAGTGTGGAGACTGTTGTGTGGTCTGTCATCCAGAATGTCGGGACCACTGTCCCCTTACCTGCATTCGTACTCTGATAGGAACACCTGTCAAGATTGGAGAGGGAATGCTGGCGTACTTCGTATCCCAGACCTCTCCAATGATCCCCTCCATTGTTGTGCATTGTGTAAATGAGATTGAGCAGAGAGGTCTTACTGAGACAGGCCTGTATAGGATCTTGGGCGGTGACCGCACAGTAAAAGCTGAAAGAGAAATTCCTCAGAGTGAAAACTGTACCCCTCCTCAGCAAAGTGGATGATATCCACGCTATCTGCAGCCTTCTAAAAGACTTTCTTCGAAACTTCAAAGAACCTTTCGCCTAAACAAAGCTTTTATGGAAGCAGCAGAAATCACAGATGAAGACAACAGCATAGCTGCCATGTACCAGGCTGTTGGTGAACTGCTCCAGGTCAACAGGGACACACTCGCTTTCCTCACGATTCACTTGCAGAGAGTAGCTCAGAGTCCACAGACTAAAATGAATGCTGCCAATCTGGCTAAAGTCCTTGCCCTATAATAGCGGCCCATGCTGTGCCCAATCCAGACCCAGTTACAATGTTACAGGACATCAAGTGTCAACTCAAGGTGGTCAAGCGCCTACTTTCCTTGCCCCTGGAGTATTGGAGTCAGTTCACCATAGTGGAGCAAGAGAACATTGACCCCCTACATGTCATTGAAAACTCAAATGCCTTTTCAACATCACAGACACCAGATATTAAAGTGAGTTTACTGGCATCTGTGACCACTCCTGGACATCAGCTTCTCAAGACTCCTTCATCTAGTTCCCTGTCACAGAGAGTCAGTTCCACCCTCACAAAGAACACTCCCAGATTTGGAAGCAAAAGCAAGTTTGCCACCAACCTAGGACGACAAGGTAACTGTTTTACTTCTTCAATGTTCCAGTGAAGTCACATCTGCCTATTACTCCCAGCACTGACTGACTATAAGAAAGGACACCTGTACTCTCTGCTCTGCAGCCTCCTGTACTCATTACTACTTTTAGCATTCTCCAGGCTTTTATTCAAGTTTAATTTTGCATGAGGGTTTTACTAAAATTACATGTATCTCCCCTTCCTTCTCCTCGAGTCACATAATATCAGTACCTTGTTCCGGTCATTGTTGGGAGCTTTTAGATGAGAGATCTTTCCAAGGGTAGCAGGGTTAGTATGGAATTGATTGTGATTCTTTTGGGGGAAGAGGGGTTATTATCCCTTTGGCTTAAAGTCAAATGCTGCTCATGGAATGAATGATCTTTCTCCAGTTTCATTTATAACTGATTTCCATGAGACAATGACAAAAACCCTACCTATCTGATAAGATTGACTTGTCTCAGGGTGGGAAGTGGGAGGGTGGGGCAAAGAAAGGATTACACCAGAAGATTTAGGATGCCTCCTTCTAAGACCTGGAAATTCTCATTCCCCATTATGAACAGAGCTATAATATGGAGCTTTCATAAAAATGGGATGCATTGAGGACAGAACTAGTGATGGGAGTATGCGTGGTTTTAATTTGGATGATTAGGTCTTTAATAGTGTTGAGTGGCACAACCTTGTAAATGTGAAAGTACAACTTGTATTTATCTCTAATATGCCATTGGCTGAACTTTGGGTTAACTTGGGGTCAAAGTCAGTTTTTCTTTTAAAATTGACTTCATTCTGATGCTTGACCCCCATACTCCCAATCTTGTCCAGTGGAGCCCAACTTCTAAAGATCAATATGTCATCCTTTGGCATCTCAACTAACAATAAAGAATAGGCTATAAGGAAGATGGTAAATATTTTATGTGGTAAGAAAAGCCACAGTCATTTTTTCTTTGCACTTTGGATGCTGAAAATTTCCCATGGAACACAACCACATCTAGACAGATGTTAGGGTTTTCTTTTGTTAAAATTATTCTTAATTTCTGTAAAAATGATTTCCTTCTATAGAATGTTTAACTTTATATTGAGCCTTATCTGTAAAACACCTATTTAGAATAATATTTGGAAAAAAGTAAATGGCTTTTTCAAAATGGAAAACAAAACAAAACAAAAGAGATGTGCCTCTTCCCCTCCCGCCATGATTGTTGTAAGTTTCCTGAGGCCTTCCCAACCCTGCAGAACTATGAATCAATTAAACGCCTTTTCTTTATAAATTATCCAGCACTGGGCAGTTCTTTACAGCCATGTGAAAACAGACTAATACATTCATACATTCTCGTCTCAGATGGCTATTCCAGACCTTCCCCTAGCTCCTCTCCTTACTACAGCAGACTCTAGTCTCTTGCCCTCAATCTCAGCTGATGACCTCATTTTAAACTTTCTGTTAACAATTACTCTGATTTGCTTTTAAGTGTCAGACACTGAGCAAGATGTTTTGAATGCATTATCGTATTTACACATCAAAATAGTGCTATGAGTTAGGGATAAATATCCCATTTCACCTAAGAGAAAATGGATTCTAAGAGAGGTTAAACAACTGTCCCATGAGTGTCCAGTATACTTGTATAACAAACCACCCCAATTTATTGGCTTAAAATAATTAACTAGAGTAATTTCTTTTGAGTTCTGAGTCCATTGGCTGGTTCTGCTGCTCTGGACTGGACTCAGTCATGCATCTGCTGTCAGCTGGCAGGTCAGCTGGGATCTTGGGACAATCCTGCTTTGCTCCATGTGGTCTCTTATCTCCTCCCATGGGCTACACCAGGTCTATTTTCACATATTAACAAGAGTTCATGAAAGGAAGTAGAAACACACAAGTGTCCTTCAAGCCTCTGCTTGCTATCCCATGGGATGAAATAAGTCCCATGATTAAGCCCAGAGTCAGAATGGGAGTGAACTACAAAACTGTAGTGGGGAGGGAACTCATAGTTTGGACTATAAATGAAATTGATCTACCACACATAGCTAATCAGTTGTACAGATGAATTTCAAACCCAGATCTCTTAACACAGAGCCCATTTTCTTTCCTCTATACTCACAGCTGCTTCACCAGAAAAAAATCCAGAAATCATGAGGCAAGAATTCTACTGTTTTTCTTCCCCCTTCTCACAAAGTCTCTCTGAATCCATTTTTATCTCTTTTCTCTCATGTGAGGAAAAGTGTTGCCCCTTCTTTGTTCAATTTTAATTGCCCCACTAGGACTATGGATCCTACTTTTTCCTTCCTCCTCAAGAACTTTGCTTCCTTAAACACCCCCATCTGTCCTTAACCTTCAGCCTCTCCTCAGCAGTGCCCCTTTTCTCTCATCATATAAATATCCCTGACTCTTCTTTTAATCACATGATTTCCTTTAGCTTTCCCTTTGTGTTTCTTCAACCTCCCCATTGCCACCTTTTTACCTTCTACTGGCATTCAGCAGTCCACAAACTAGTTTCTGGCTCCCTTGCCCCCATGAAAAGAGGCTCTTGCCCAAGTCACTCATGATCAAGTTATTTATTTTTTTGGTCTGAGGCATTTTTAGAGTTAGTATATTAAGGTCGGTGAGGATAAGCTGTGGAAACCAATTCCTAAATCTTAATGGGATTACCAATAAAAGCTTAGTTTTCATTTAGGTCATGATCTCCTCATGTATTTGCTTGTTGGCATTCCCTGTGGTGACCTGGGTCCTTAGGCTCCTTTCATCTTGTGGCTCCACCATCTCTTATGGACTTAAGGCCCTCCACTGGAGCTCTGCATCTGGCAGCTGAGGAGCGAAGAGTGTGGAAGATTGTTTGAGTTGTTAGAAGGGGGCAGGGCCAGGGAGAAATTTATCACTTCTACCTTTATTCCATTGGCCATAACACAGCCTGCAAGGAAGGCTGGAACATGCATTGCAGCTGTCTTCCAGTTGGAAAATTAAACTGTTGAGTATACAGCAGTTCTTTACCAAAGTCTGCCATCGTTTCTTTCTGAAACTCTCTCCTGTGTCTTCCATGACACCATTTTCTCTTGGTTTGTCTTCAAATCCTGGCTGTTTATTTTCAGTCTTTCACAGGTCCTCTTTTATTCATTTCCTTAAATGTTGGCATCCTGCTGCACTTTGTTCTTAAGTCATTTCTCTTCTCACTAAATATTCTTCCTGGAACATTCCATAAATAACCAGCAGATCTATTTCCATCTTTTTGTTCGGACCCCGATGTAAAACCTGCTGTTCTTCCTTTAAGTCTCCATTTTGGTAAGTGGGCATCTTCCCCGGTCACCAAACCAGAAAATGAAGTGATCCTACATTCTTCTTTTATCCTCTGTAACTGAAGGTTTCAATCTCAGCACTACTGACATTTTGGGCCAGATAATTATTTGTTGTGGGAGAGGTTCTGCACATTGTAGAATGTTTAGCAGCATCCTTGGCCTTTACCTGCTAGATACCAGTAGGGAACCCCTTCCCACGTTGTGACAATCCCCAAAAATATCCAGACATTGCCAAATGTCCCCTGGGGAGGGGGAGACTGTCTCCAGTTATCTCCAGTTAAGAACTGCCCTATGAAATCATCCAGTCCTACAGATTCAACCCTGTAGTTCAACATTTTCTTTCTTCATTTACCTTTTTGCCATTCATTTCATCTTTTTTTTTTTTTTTTTTTGAGACAAAGTTTTACTCTGTCACCCAGGCTGGAGTGCGGTGGCACAATAACAGCTCACTGCAGCCTTGACCTCCTGGGCTAAAGTGATCCTCTGACCTCAGCCTCTCAAGAAGCTGGGACCACAGGAGTATGCCACCACACCCAAATAATGTTTTTGATTTTTTTTGTACAGATGGGGTCTCCCTATGTTGCCCAGGCTGGTCTCAAACTCCTGAGCTCAAGCAATCCTCCCACCTCGGCCTCCCAAAGTGCTAGAATTACAGGTATGAGCCACCTTGCCTGACCCATTTCATTAAATTTCACATAATTTCGCCTCTAGATGTTTCCAATTGCCTCCTCTCTGGCTGTGGCAAGCAAGTTTGTGAACCAACAGTAATTCTTGACTCAAATATTCGTTGCTACCATATACTAAAGAAAAATGGAATACTTGTTTTTCAGCCTCATTTGCATCTAAGGATAACCAGTTGACACAATGTAGCATGGAATATTAGGTTCTTGAAGGGAAGCTAGTTGAACTTAAAGGTTAACAGCAAAGCTTTGGAATCATCCAGCTTGGATCATTGCATCCCAGCCTCATCACTCTGACAATTGTGCCACCTTAGGAAAGTTATTTAAATTCTATGTGCCCCATCAGTAAAACTGGGATAATAGTAGTACCAACCTTATAGTATTATTGTGAAGATAAATGAGTTAATATGTATAAAGTGTTTAATACAGGCATTCCTTGTTTTATTGTTTCAGTCCACTTTGCTTCATTGTGCTTCACAGAAATTGCATATTTTACAAATTGAAGATTTGTGTCAACCCTGCAAGGCTATCACTGAGCAAGGCTATCAGTACAATTTTTCCAACAGCATGTGTTCACTTTGTGTCTCTGTGTCACATTTTGGTAATTCTTGCAATATTTTGAAAGTTTTCATTATTATTATATCTGTTATGGTGATCTGTGATCTTTGACATTATTATAATGTCAAATTGTTTGTAATTGTTTGGGGGCACCAAGAACTGTGCCCATATAAGACAGTAAACTTAATAAATGTTGTATGTGGTCTGACCACTCCACTAACTGGCTGTTGGTTGTTTTCCCACCTCTCTGCCTCTCCTCATGCTTTCCCATTCCCTGAGACATAACAAGACTCAGCCAATTAAAAAGCCTAGTTTGTAAATGTTCAGGTGAAAGGAAAAGTCACACAACTCTCACTTTAAATCAAAAGCTAAAAATGATTAAGCTTAGTGAGGAAGGCATGTCAAAAGTCAAGACAGGCCAAAAGTTAGGCCTCTTGCACCAAACAGCTAAGTTGTGAATGCAAAAGGAAAGTTATTGAAGGAAATTAAAAGTGCTACTCTAGGGAACCCACACATGATAAGGAAATAAAACAGCCTTATTGCTGATATAGAGAAAGTTTAAGTGGTCTGGATAGAAGACGGAACCAACCACAGTATTTCCTTAAGCCAAAGCCTTAGCCAGAGAAA